CGTAAATGGCTTCGTTTTCCATTGCGGAGGTCGCCAACATGTATTAAGTCACGACGAAGGAGGACAAAGTCAGCAAGTCATTCGATATCCGACTCGGAGGTAGGATTGCATCTATCGCCTTAAGACGGAAGACAGTGCGTTCACGGATTCTCATTGATCTGGATTGTTTGATAAAAATAATAAAGAGAAACACCGCATTTAAGGACAAACAAGCCTGTCTAAGACAAATCCATACAGTGAATTGTACGGGATGTTCATAAGGTGTTCATTTGTTCGTGTGCAGGTAGATCTTGTATGTACAAACGTAGATCTCGTTAAATTGAACTAAAAAGTCCTATTAAAACAACGGTGTATTATCCATTTTTATTTTTAGGGCCTTTATTCTCGAAAAATAATTATACTTATTATTCTAATGACTGTATAAAATATCATACGCAATATTGTTCAAGAATGAGGCCTTACGCGTAGTAGAGAAAATATTAGAAATAGGAATAAGTATTAATCCACATTGTTCAAATTCGTTAACTAGAATATAAATATTTTGAACAATAAAATTCACAAGGCTCCGACGTGAAATTACAATTCAAAGAAATAAAGGATATAAGAGCCCAGGCAGGGCGTTAGTGTCTAAATGATTTTTATTTTTAAATTTATTGCGAAAAATTTAACAAATATTTTGGATTACGATTGTATGACACAACTTCTATATTTTTTTTCTTCGTGCGTTACATTTAATCTCTCTCCTTTTTTCTCTTGTAATATTAAAAATTTATTTCTATTCCTGATATTTTCTCTGTTGTGCGGCAGGTGACTCCAAGTCAGCACGGATATTTTGTAATATTTTGTCGTATGTTTTCTTCCGATTTGAAAATTGTGAAACTTTTTGTTGCGTTCGGCATTTTATTGTGTGACTATTGACTATGATTAATTCAAAGTTAGACCCTCAGTTATTTCCTGCTTTACGTCTTTTTATAATTTATCGCTTGAGAAATGACTTAATGTCGGCAGTATTATAACTATGTATTATGACGATCGCTATTCGATCGCTCGCGTTACATAACGCGTCGCGTCAGTGCCACCATTTTGATACCATTTAAAGGCAATAAATGCACCCCACTTTAACGAAGAAAGGCTCGGGAGCCCGGGAGTTGCTGAGAGCACTCGCCTAAAACGAGACGTGTGGGCCGTACAAGGAGATCTCGTTAGCCGCTTTTGTATACCGTCACGTCGATAGGATGCATCGCGCGCGGAGCAACCCAAATTCAGAATGATCCGGGACGTTCCGATTTATTTGTCGAGCGCTAAAGAATTAACTTAGGAGTTAGATAGATCCCCGGTGAAAAATTTTTCATACATGTTTTTGCATTGTGTATTTCTATATTAGTCTTTATTCTATGCAATTCTATAAATTTATGTGAAAATTTAATCGGAAAACGTAATCGGAAAGATTAACCATCGGAATCACTATTTAATTGTTTTGTCCGATGAAAATTTCTCTCAGTGTAATTATTACCCGAACCGAATTAATACATCGAACTGTACGCCAGAAGTGATCACTTCGGATTGCGGCCGTAAAATTATCTTATTTATCGCAAGCTATTTGCTTATTGACATAAATTATTAGAAACTAACGGGCACACCAAAGTTGGCGTTTGTGACTCAAGCGCGCGCCCACGCGCGGACTCGGGCGTCGCGAGAGCGAGGTCCCGAAATTCGCGTGATAAAACTGATTAATTTATTGTCGTACGCTCGCGAGGCTTGGTAACTTTCTTACGGTACTCGAGGGAAACAAGACGGGCCCGGCTTGTTTTATCGTTACGATCCTCGAGATTAAGGACCGAGGGATTTTCGTGAGGCGCGCCCGCGGATCCCGGCGCTTCTTTCGCGCGCGCGCGCTCCTCCCTCGACGATTCACGAGCGGGGAAAGGAAAAGATACGAAGGTGTCCGCGAAAAAAAAGAGACGGAGGTTTACTTGATTGAAGAGCGAGAAACCACTTGCCCATATTTGGCTGCACCCGCATGCAGTTTACATTCCGTGCCTTTTTACTGCTTTCGATCGCCCGTACCTCTGTTGCGTCGGCGAGCATGCCTGCGATTTATATACACTGTCCCCCCGTGGATTTTTATCACGCTGATAACGCGATCCCGCTGTTTTTTTAAGAATGCCGCGTAAACCGCGCGTCACGCACCGCAGATTGCGATCTGTTAAAAGTTCATTTATTATTACATTTGTCTGTCTACTATGTATCAGGTTTGTTTACTTCATCGAGATATCGAGATATTATTTCATTAGATATCGATCGATGAGGAAAATATGAAGTATGAGGTAGGTCATTGTTAATGCGCAATTCTTGCTGGAGACGGATTTATCAATTAGATTTGCGAAATGACGATCTCCATGAGAGATCTCGGTGATATTCGGAGATACAGCCACGAGAAACGCGGTAGAATCTCGCGTCAGGTGTCTTTTGCAGAGTACGTCCTTCATAGACGAATTGCTACGAGGGGGAGACCGCTCCCTCAAGATACGCCCTTTTGTTCTTTTTACTTGCTGTCACCGAAAGGTACATTGGAGGAGGAGAGGACGTAGACTTTTCCGATTGCGATGATGGTGATGCACATAAATGTAAACAGACAGGCAGGAATGCCTAGGCATTTCTATAATTATAGAGTACATAACAGACTTCTGCACTGAGAGCTGAAAAACAGTGATGGTTATAACATTTTTCCTCGTTTTTAACTTAGTCTTTCTTACAGTAACCATTACGTACCACTACAGTAAGCATTCTCCCAGTAATCAGTACGGATTTTACAATAACTATTACGGATTCTACAGTAATGAATATTGTAGATCAACTGACTGACTGTTACTTACTAATCCAGTATTGAATCAGTACTGTATTTCCACAATCATTACGATAAAAACCAGTAATGGTCTTGGTACAAGATTTTATTGAAAATAAAAAAACTTTTCCACTAGCTTTTTTCCAATTTTTTTTATTGTGGGATTCGAACCTAAGATTTCGGATTACTAGCCTAGTACGCTAACGCTGAGCTAACTATTTATATATGTTTTCTACCCTACTGTTAGGCTACATATTATTTACATATTATTTTAATGCTAGTGGTCAACAGTAATGGTTACGGAATTGCACATCACTCAATAATAAAATTGTTCAGTAATCATGTTTTCTTTAATACAATATCGCTTACAACTTTAGTCGTTAGATGGTATTGTATTTTTCAGCAGACATTACTTTTTTTTAAGTAAGCATTTGCGTATTAAGATTAAAAGTTGAGAATGAGCAAAAATTCAGGGACTATTACTGTTTTTCGATTCTCAGTGTGTATGTTACTAGATTGCTACCGTCGAGCTGAAAAGCGAGATAAGAGTTCCGCCATGTCTTGTTAGGTAAATAAAATAGTATGTGTGCATCGGTCACGGACACACATACTACTTTATTTACCTAGCAGGACACGGCGGAACTCTTGCCTCACTTTTCAGCTGGAAGGTAGCAGTCTAGTAGTATAATGCTCTTTAAAAGTCAGTCAGTGGATTATCATTGAAAACAGTGAATGTTCACTGATTTACTTTTAGAGAGAAGTCTGTTCTGCCTCGATAAAACTTACAAGGAATGATGTTCATGTAGTTGCAATGCGAGGACATGAGATGCGCAGCATCTCTGGGAGATGTAGATTTGAAAAATTGTAGACTTCTCCTCCATTTCGATACAATTTAAAATAGATTTTAGAAATTATTTATTTCATTCAGGCATATATCTCTCAGTTTTCATTGACAAATACTGTTTTCTTTTTCATACAAAACTTCTAGCTTTGTTTTTGATCAACTTTCGAGACGGTCAGGAAGCAAGAGAAATTAAACTTTGGACTGTTATCTTTTAACCAAAAATGGGTCAGCAACGCTCACGATCAATGTCTTCTATTTATTGTAACGATATTATCTCTAGTTTCGTCACTGGGTTACGAGACCCTTGGAGAGCGATTTGGGGTCGCATGTTGATGTTTGGTCAATCTCTGATTCAGTATACGGTCGCGTTCGATCGTCAGCCAAGTCGAACAACGAAAAAGCGTCATGTACGCCCGGCCCTCTTTGGATATAAAGGCACTTGTATAATAAGTGGCACAAGACCGCTTTCTATCTATGTCCGAAGGATTTCTCGCATGCGACACGCTGCAAGCGCCAAATAAGAAATCTATAGATCGATTTGATTTCCGATATAATACGAAACAAACTGGAACAGGAATTATTTGGAACATCTAGACTACTTCTGTAACGCCTGTAAAAATAAAACGGAGAAACGCTGTGTCGAGTAATTATACATAACACACAATTAATAATTTATCTTCTGGGGAAAGTATCGCGGAGAGATAAGGTATTAAATGATTGCAACGTTAATTGAAGCAAATTTGTTGATCGATTATTCCATAAAAGTATATGCAATTATCAAGATATATTTCCTCGCCGTTGATGTCATCGATTCAGCTAAAATTAAATGCGGATGCATCACTCTAAACAGCAGCGCACTTTGTGCTCCGAAGAGCGTGGAATTCGAGATTAAATGTCGCACGTATCGAACGATTTTACGCAGCTGATACACAATTTTACGTAGCACGCGTGTATAATAAGAAGAATAATAGCTTTGCCTGCGCAACGTCACGCAATAACTGGATCACGAGGTAGCATTATTATTTAAGTATCCAGGAGAGTTCGATTGTTATTTGAATATTTTCGGATACCGTATACAATCGTGAATAATTTTGGTCTTCACATACTTGGATTATTCATAATCGATAGATCAATATACAAATATTATTCAGGCTGTCGGTTACAAATCTCGGTTCGCAACGACGCCTCTAAATTCCTGTCATTCTCTTTCTGTCAAATATACGAGTATATAAATTTATAAAACGCGTTAACTCATTAAATCACCGAATACGAAGACAAAGAGTGATTCCGCGCGAGGGAAATGACGCAGGCTGCATCGATATCATTTTATTACAAAACCTTATTATATACAATTATATACAAAACAAAATGGAACGCGAATACAACGAAATTCCACCACACATGATATATATTATGTATCATTACACGCATACTATAGAGTGAATTATCACATTTTCGATTGGCTAACAAGGAAATCCATAACCAGATGATTGAACTCCTCCGGGAACCTCAAGTGAAGGTTGTGCGCGCCCTTTTCGAAGATATGTACTCTGTAAAGAATCACAATTTTAGTAAACAGATATTGAAGATTACACATTGGACTTGTTTCAAGATTGTAAAGATGCGAACTTTGAACCGGCGATATTCTGCTTCAGATACGTCGGGTGTTCCGACAGGACTACCGGGTCTTTGGCCCCGTGGATAATTAAGGTCGGACACTTTATCTTCGGTAAGGCCTGCCTGCATAGGTCGCCGTTTTGCTTTTCGAACAACCTTAGCACAGCGTCCACCCAATCCGACCACATCTTTCTGAAGTAATCCTCACCGTAGGCTTTTATCATAGGCGCCCTCATTTTTTCCGACCACTTGTTGATGTCCCTAATGCCTGGACCACAATATGTCATATAGCGTTGTGAGATTGAAAGAAGGAAATGAAATAATATTTAACGCGAAATGTTGCGCTGTATCTCGCCAACAAATTTAGGAATTCCAAAGTTTTCTCAGATCTCAATGCCTTTTGTAAATATAAACGCGATGTCGCAAGTTGCATCGGACCCTCTAACAGTGGATTATCACCGAAAACAGTGATAATTCGCCGATTGACTTTTAGAGAGTAAACGCTAGAAGAGACTCTCTGGCTCCAATATATTATCGCGCGAGCAAGGTCATACTTTCGTATATCTTTATCTCGTCTGGGTGTATGTACGCGTTCGCGCCGAAGACGACCATCTTGCGGACGTTGTCGGGATACGTCGCGGCGAGGAGAAGCGACGTGATGCCGCCGTCGCTCCAGCCGATCAGAGAGAACTTGGAGTAGCCGAGGACCCCCATCAGGCCGTGCGCCAGCGCGGCGTCTCGCTGAAAGAAATCGTCCGAGAAGGTCCGGTCGGGCGGTCGCGACTTGCCGTAACCGGGCGGATCCCACGCGACTATGGTCAGCTTGTCCACGTCCAGGTTCTCCATCTGCGGCTTAAAATCGGTCCATATCGTTCCTGAAACACAGGTTTCGCTGGGTCGTAAATCTGTCGTCGTAAATCACCCGGTGAGTGAATTGTTAACCGCTCACCGGCAGTTTGGCGCCAATTGCGTCCGCATTAACGCACTCGCCGCCAAGCGTGTTTTACGTGACTACCTTTTTGTCAATTACTTTATATTAGAGAGAATATAAGTCCGTTTTTTTTGCAAGTTCGATCATGTCTGGAATCCGTTCTCCAAACGCAATTGGCATTTACGTTAAGTGTAGATTGGAAAATGCTGGCCGGTGCATTTCCGATATTGGACCAATGTTTAGCCAATGCACTGTGCTACTAGAGTCAATACACAAACATACACTATGTTGGGAAATAATGTAAATCTAGTATTCCCAATATTGGTCCAATATTGTAAGATGGACGCCTTTTCTTACCCTAGTAGCACAGTGCATTGGCTAAAACGTTGGCCCAACACAACCAAATATTGGGCCAATGTTTAACCAATGCTTGTTCAATGTACTGTGCTACTAGGGTATTTAGCCAATATGTCTATTTAGCAATATTGGTCTAATATTGCTGCATTATTAGACCAACATTGTTATTATTGCATTGTTAAATATTGACCAATGCACTTCCAATATAAGTCTAATATTATATAATTATCAACGTGCAATATTTACATTTATTTCATGCCTAATATTGACTTTGCGTTGGACAACATCGGCCAATTCATTTCTAATATAACCAACATTGGATCAGTATTTAGCTATAATGCTTAGCCAATGCACTGTGCTACTATAGGGGAATGTTGAAAGAGACAATTAAAGTTGGCGGGAAAATTTGAAAACTTGATATCTTTTTCTAATGCCCGTTTCTACCAGTGCAGATTAACTTTAATCTCGGCTTAAATTACCTCCTGTCTTTTTCCAATTCGTGAAACTAGAAAAAGATACAAAGTAAGTTGAACCAAGATTAAAGTTACACTGCGTTGGTAGAAACGGGTATTAATTAAAATCGCAACGATGGATGCAACGCTATCTTGTTTTTCATCGAACAATTCAAACACCATATTCATATTTACGGTCCGATAGATGGCAGCAAATGCTACCGAGGAGAATGTGCAAAGCCGTTATCTAACTAGCCTTCAATGCATAAAAAAATAATTATTGCACAATTCGCGCGTTACCCAAGGCGCCGGGTAACAGCAACACCGGATGACCACCTGTCCCGACTCTGGCGTAATTGATCTCCACGTCGCCCACTTTGACCTTTCGTTCCTGTTGACGGGAACGCGCGTTCCGTTTAGCAGGGATAGTCCAGGGTAGTCCATGAAATGGCAGATCGAGAAAAACAAGTTACAGTTTCACGCTTTTATTTCACGCCCGCCTCTCCCTACGTACCTCAAACTCACGGGCTGTGGTTGATAATTGCCGGGGGCTCACGAGTCCCCTCTCGGATTTGACGATTTTGCATAACGCACTTACGAAGCGAGCGTACATCTTTCACCAGGTTCGTTCATGTATGTTTATGATCGACTGACGCCTCTGAACGGTTTGCGGAAGCAGCGCACATCGGTATTTATATATAGCGTTGTCGCGCCACGCATGAAATTCAAATTTTTGCGCCCTGATAATACAGTAACGCGATAAGACAAGATTGATAACACGAGCGAGATATTGCTTCTTTTTAATTTGTTAAGGCCTTCACACATAAAATTCCGTAAGGACGTAAAACGTAAGCATAAGAAAATCGACCAATCACAGTCGAGAACGTAAGGCAATAACGAAAACAGTAGCAAATCCAATCTGTTGATTTTCTTACGCTTACGTTTTACGTCCTTACGGAATTTTATGTGTGAAGGTTTTTACCGCTGAGAACGTTAATTTCGTTAAACAAGAAATCAATAATTATGAATGTTTATCTCGTTTTCATTATTTTTTAAATAGCTCGTTTGCATTATGTTTGTCTACTTCGATGTGGGACGATTACTTGTCAAAATAGTGGCTTGAAAAAATTTGTCTCGATCACTTTTATTTTTCAAATTATGATCTTACGTATAAGACGAAATAAAGAAAGAGTAACGAGATGAGAACATTAAAACTATTAACATGAAAACTCGTTTTGTAAATAAGCATATGTTTCCACACGTCTATTTTTCTGACGTAGACTTTTAAGTTTGAAGATTTCAACATTTTTAATTTACGAAAAATGTTCAATTATATTTTCAAGATTTTAACGATTTCGAGACTTTACGTTACTACAGTCATAAAAATCGACGAGGTTCTAGCTAGATGTGGTAAACAAGTTGAAAAAGATAACGCAATGTACTTGACGGACGATATTGGTGTCAAATGAAGCTTCGAGGAGCATCGGAGATTAACTTTTAATGGTTGTATGATCATTAAAATATTTATTTTAGAACTATACAGTAATGGTAAAAATGCAAACAAAAATATCAAATGCAGATGTAATATACAGACGATGGCGGTAATGATCGAAAAACCAACGCATAGGTTTCCACATGGTAAATAAATAAACGTAGTGCAGTTGTTTCAAGGTCGGTGATCACACAAATTTATAATCGCTCTTACAAAAGTTCCTACAAAAGTCTTGCGAGACACAAACTAAATGCAACGTGACACGTACATAATTCGTGAAGAAGAATTTCGTCATTGTCATTTGTCTTCGGGAGGAAAGAAAATTCAATTTAAACACGATGCGGGGTGCGGAACGAGCTCTCTCTCGCGGGAGTGAGAAGTGCAGAAAGTTCCGATTAATCGTTTACACTTAATCATAATCCTACCATTGATAATAATAATAATATTTAAATGATTCGAAATGGATTATGGTCATGGCTTATCATGAATCCTGTTGATTGCGATTGCTCTGCGTTCGATCGAGTGCTCTGTGATATTCCTCCATCAGATACTTTTTGTATTTTGTCTGATTGTTCCACAGCTCCGCCGCTTCGAGATTAAGCGGGCTCTCGTTGTTAGGTTCTGCGTAAAAAAGAACAAAAGTACAATCAGTGTCTCGCGCCTCACGCGTCGATTCACCGTACGACCATTCCGCTCGTACTCACCGCCAAGAAGGGACTGTATGGAGAGTAAAATGGTACGGACGTCGTACAACGCGCTCCACTTGTCTTTCAATATGTCTAGGCAGATGTTACCGCCGGTATCTACATTCGGGTGAAAGCAGGGTGTAGCGAAGCGCACTATAGGAGCGCTGTACGGGTAGCTATGTGGAAATTCTAACGTCAGTTTGTAGGTGAGACCGGCGTATACCTGCGACACAAGTAGAGTCTTCATTAGAACTATGTAGGGAGGGAAGAGTGTCAATGTGTGAGCCACAAATGAACAGAAAATGGTTCTCACAAATTAGAAACAAAAAACATTTCGACCCTTCTTCGGGTCTTCCTCAGTAAAACTACAATAAAACAATCGAGAATATAGGATGTGAACGTAATACTTTGATACAGATTGGTAGAACAACAATAATCAGTTACCTCGTTTAAATCGACTAAAGCGTATCTTAACAGACCAGAGTGGTATGTGATAATATTTCCAACATTGGTCGGATATCGTAAGGTGGACGCTTTTTTTATTTGTGTCTGTTTCTACCAATGCGGATTAAATTTAATCTTGGTTTAATTTACTTTCCATCTGTTTCAAACTTTTAAGTCCGGTTTCACCAACGTTGTTTAACTTTAGGCCTAGCTTAATTAGTCCTTTGTCGCTTTCCAATTGTTACTTTAGATAGAGACAAACGTGAATCAAGCTGAGATTAAAGTTAAGCGACGTTTGGTGAAACCGGGCCTTAGAACTACAAAGAGATAAAAAGAGAGTTAACCCGAGATCAAAATTAGTTTACATTGGTAGAAGTGGACACTAGCCTATGTGTCTTTCAACAATATTGGTTTAATGTTATATCAGTGTTTAACTTTGATCTTACTTTAATTTCGTCCTTTGTCACTTTCTAATTGTCCTCTTATGTCCATTTCTATCAACTTTAATCTCGGTTTAACTGTCTTTTTCTGGTTCTAAGAGCTGGAAAAGGATGGAAGGTGAACTAAACCGAGATAAAAGGTTTAACTACATTGGTAGAAGCGGACATTAGAGGCAAAGGGTGAATTAAACCAAGATCAAAGTTAAACGATGGCTAAAACCGAGGTTAATCTTGGCTTCCAATACAAGTCCAATATTATGTAATTAACAAGTTGAGTAAATCTTATTGTCGCCAGTGATAATTCAAAGAGGGAATATTTTTCAAGAAGTCGACGTTACGAATAAAAAACGGTCTAGATATTTTACTTAATTTCCAACAATCAGTTACCTGTTTTTCACCAATAATTCCAGGTTTGACAATATGAATCTGCAACCACAGACTCGTGCACTCGCTGTTTCGGTTAAACAAATCACGCTACTTCGACAACTATAGGTACTTTCACCTTTATATATTACCATAGTAAAAAATTGACTTTCCATTTTTTCTTTTTTACATTGCGGCTCAATTACCTTCGATTGTTTGTAGACCACACTTGAAAAGGACCCGATTAAGGGGTCGAAACGTTGTGAACTGAATAAAGATCACTTTCTTGCCAGCTTGGCCGACTTGAAAAATATTCCCTCTTTATGTAATTAATATCGCGCAACGTTTGCATTCATCTCGTAGCCAATATTGGCTTTACGTTGAGAAACAATGCACTTCCAACGTTTAGCCAGTGCTACTAGGAAACATTACGACTAAGGTCTGGTTGCACCAACGTCACGTAACTTAAACTTTAGCTCAAGGGCCTGAGCAGAACGGCTGTCTTGTTCTCTGAAAACAATGTTTCATGTTTGAAATCCTTGTCGTACAGTGACGCACAATAATTGTCTTGTGTCTTAGGAGCACAAGACAGCCATTCTGCTCAGGCCCTCACTCTTCGTCTCTCTCTGTTTCCCTTGGAAAGAGACCAGGCCCATACTCCGAATCCTCTTTTATCGACAAAAATGCCACTAAAATTGCCCTCGAAGGATCCTTGTTGGCCGAGAGGATCTGTTACGGGCGCTCTGGTCGATAAAAGAGGAGCGCGGGTCAAAGAGTGAGTTAAGCCGAGGTTGAAGTTACACGACAGCGCAACCGGGCCTCAAAGTGGAGCAGTCTAGAGTTCACGCGGGGCAGGCTCTACCGTGTCTCTTGGTCCTGTGATAGTCCCGATCCACTTGAACAGGTTTTCTCCCTCCGGGAAGGCGGACACTCCCTGCTCGGTGCTCATCATCAGCACCATGAGCTCCTTCTGCAACCTGGACAATCGACAAGGACAGGGTAAGCTCGAGTGTCCCGGACAAACCAGCGGTGTCTCCGGTAGTGGAAGCGCGAGCGGCGAGGGGGGGGGGGCAACGGGAGAGGGGAAACGGAGCCGAGTCCCGCATCACCGACGGCGCGAGGTTATGTGAGCACGGCGGAGCGAAGCGGATATCGATTCGCGTCGCGGGTCTCCGGACGGGAATCCGGAGAGAATCGGAGGGGGGGGGGGTGGGAGAGAGCCAGCTCGCGGTCGCGCGCGAGTTGGCCAACTCGGGTTCCGCGTACCGTTTGCTGACTGCGTGATTGTCCTTCGGCAGGCTCTGCTTCTCCTCGGCGGCCTTGGTCGGCGTGTTCTGCATCGAGCTGAACGGATTCACGTTCTGCGCCATCCTGGGGGGCACCGGGTCTCCTGGCGGGTTCCTGGCGCGCGAGACTCGGCGGCGAGTGTCGTGTTCGCGGGGAGCGAGGCCTCTGTGTCTCTCTCTCTCTCTCTTCCTCGCTCTCCGACTGTGGATTGACGGTCACAACTCACAACAGCACGGCGGAAATTTGAATGCTGCACGCGTCCTACTGCCCGGCCCGAAAACATCGAGCGGCAAAACAGCTGTTGCGTCGGGCGGCGGCGCGTCGCGTCGCATCGCGTGTGTCGCCCCGCGGGTTCCGGGGATCCTCGTCCGCCCGCCGTCGTCGAGACGCTGGTCGCGTCGTGTGTGTACCGGTGTCCCCGCGCGCGTCGCGGGACGGATCTCTGAGTCGCGCCCGAGAAAGGATCCTCGAGGGGGATCTCGGCCGCGTTCCGGGAATCGGTGGCGGCCCCGCGGGTGATCGATAACTCGGCCGTCGTTCTCGGAACCGACGCGAACGGGGAAGGCGACGGAGGATGGTCTCGGAGTAGCGCGATCGCGATATATTGATCGAGAGAGGCTTCTCTCTTCTTCCTCTCGTCTCGTCGACGTGATGGTCGACTCGACGACGCGCCGGGGGCTGGTACGATCGGACGGCCGCGGTCCGGACACGTAGCGCTCGAGAGGGAGAGAGTCACCCGGTATAGGCGCGTCGCGTCTCGCGCGGCGAGCGAGCGAGCGAGCGAGCGGAGAGCTTGGAGGTTGGCGCGCGAGATGACGGGGTCCCTCGACGACGAGAGCGGACCCGCCGCCCGCTGATCCGGCCGAGGCGAGAGCATGGCGGCGGCGCAGGGCACCCCGGAGTCGGACACCGGTAGCTTCGAGTGCTTCAGGAACTACACGGCGCCGGAGGTGTTCGTGCAGGGCCTGGCCGGCATCGTCGACCAGCAGGACGTGGAGTCTATGATACGCGCCCAGAAACAGATGTGAGTTACGCGAGGTCCACTCGTAGCCTCAGGCTACGATGACGGAGAACGATCCGTAGACGCTCGAGGTCCGCTTTCACCGACGTCGCTTGAGCTTAGCCCAATTCGTTCTTTGTCTCGTTCCAGCTGCGTTACTCCAGATAGAGACAAGCGTGAATTGAACGAAGGCTCGGTTTCGTCAACGTCGCTTAACTTTAAACTTGGTTTATTTCCTTCTTTGTCTCTTTCCAACTGTTACTTGAGAAAGTTGAGCAACGTTCGGTGAAAGCGGGGGCTCAAGCGTCTCCGGGTCGCCTTCTGCCGCCAGCCTTACGCTTCTCATTCGTTACGATATAATTGCAAAGCGGACGATTAAAGGTTGCAGAGGTTCGAGAAGACCAACGAGATGCTGACCAACTGCAACCAGCTGTCGGTGAACAGGCTCAAGACGGCCGGCACGGAGTTCAAGAAGCACACCGCTCTCCTGGTCGAGATGAAGCGGGACCTGGATCATATCTTCAAGAAGATCCGCCTGATTAAGAGCAAGCTGAGCCAGCAGTACCCACAGGCGTTCAATGGTAATTCACTTATACCGAGTCTCGACGAGAGGTGGGCGCGGTGGCGCGCGATCCAATCGCGGTTATTATCACTCCGTTGCGCGCAGAGGCGGTGAGGAGCAGCCTGGCGGAGGAGGTGATCGTGGAGGACGTCGACTGCCCGGTGAAACCCCTCGAGCCGGAGGTCGTGCCGCTGCCGTCCGTCCCGGCTTGCGACGCCGCCGATCAAGATCCCGATTCAGATGGTAATGAAAGCTCCACTAAGAAATAGTCATGTCGCATACGAGGAGTAAATAGTATCGGACCTCTTCGGCGAAACGCCTCTCGAATGTAAAGAAAAAGAAAGAAAACACTTAGAAATTACCTACGGAACGAACGGCCGGTTGATTCAGGTAACACACGTTATATTTCTAATAATGTATACACCGGCAGAGGAGCAATACGTCTGGCGCTTTGTTGCGAAAGAGAGCGTGAGAGAGAGAGAGAGAGAAAGAGAGGGCGATACCTGTTCAGTCTGAACCAATTGTTTTTGAACACTCAGACAGATTTTATTGTTGTGAGATGTATATGTAACTTACACGCTAGCTGTACGTGAATGCATAAGAGACTATTTTGAAGAGAGTATTTCTACTAGAGATCGATGTTAACGGGAAGCGACGTGGCTCGCTTCTTAGGGTTGCGCTTTCACCCGACACCTCCCGCGCGCCCCCTCTCGCCGGGGGAGGGTGGAGGGCGCGTGTAGTACAAATTCGCTGATTACAGCGAAGTGTCGCATTCGGCGAGTCGATTACACCCTCCGCATATTATTTGCGCATATTTTCGTTGTTACTCGCATGCGTAAGGCTCCTGGCGGGGCCGGTCACGTTACACGACGGGACAAACTCGCAATACAGAGATGGTACAAAGTAAATTTCCATACTAGCTGTGGTAGCCTTCACGGGGTGGGTAGAGTCGACCAAGAGCGTCCCCCCGGGTAAGATTGTGCAAGTAATTTTTCTATCACGGACGCGAGCGAGGGAAAACACGCTGCGCGGATATCGGCGGATGAGAGGACGTTGAGTACGGAAGTTTACTGTTCGTGAATGTTCTCTCCTTGTTGCGTAATTTCGCACCGACTTGCCGCGTAAGTATGTACATACCGCATAGCAACATGCTTTCAATGTACGAGCCGATTTATCGCTTCTCCCAGCGCATAGCAAGGAAAGCTTGTTCATGTGTTACATAGTGCATTATTGTAAATAAAGATCGTTCACCGTCTACCTCGTCGCACACACACACATAAACACGTACACACTAGAGTTGTGCGAATCGCTTCGAATTCGAATCGGATCACAAAAAATTCGATTCGATTCGTCCTCGAATTCGAGTAATTCGATTTTGAACGTAATAATAAAATTATTTTCAAAATGAGCAATATCATTGGGCAAATAGTTTATGCTTTTGTCTTCAAATCCACATATCTTTTTATCTCCTAAGTTAAAATCTGCCCCCAATTAAAGTGAATTAGGGACAGATTGTAATTTTAGCTCTGGGAGATAAAAAGGAAGAGAAAATTGATTCGAGTTCGGACATGAAAAGATTCGATTCGACCACACAAAAGCACGATTCGCACACCTCCAACAGGTACACAGAGTCGTCTGTTTCACGCTACTCCGATAGGTATGTCCACGACGATTTGCAGTATCGAGACTGGCCTCGCAATCTCCGCCGCCACAGATTTCAGTAGGTGCCTGTGAAGCCTATAAGGGACGTGGCTGGGCTGATAGGAGATTAAATTAAGTCGTTTTACGCGACAAAATGCGAGAGGACCCGTGGGCAACGGAGGGCAATGTGCGTTGCCGCGTATCGATTGACAGTGGTCGTTTCTAATGTTAATGCCTTAGAACGGAGTGCGACAATTCCTGGCAATTTTCTGCGTACCGCAGTCACAGTCACAAGGTGCTCAAGTAAATCCCGTTGTATGCGCACTTTCTTTCTGTAAGATAAATGCAATTCACAATGTAAAGCGTTCCGGTCGGCCGAGAGAGGGGGAGAGGGAGAGAAAGAGAAATATATCAGTGTTCTTTGTTCGTTCTCTCGTTTTCCTGCGGCTTGATTCATCCCGATCGAGTTATCCTATCCCTCCTGCGAAAAACGGAACAAAAAAAGAAACCACATAGAGTAAGAAGATATTAAAAAAAAAAGAAAGAAATCGCGAATGGCGATAATGTTAGCCAGAGGACTAATGACATGACTTCTCCATTGTTGGTGTACAGTGCCGGTCGAGGAGTTTCAGTTCGCGAAGCTGCGCAAACGGCGAATAAAGAGTAACGACAGCTCGTCGACGGAGAGCAACAACGATCAGAGTAACGCCGACACGTCGTCCTGCACGTCCGACACCGGTTGAAAGAAAGAGCCGGGCAGTAATGAGGGAAAGAGGGGGAGAGAAACGCTTGTCGTAATTGTCCCAGGTCGGGGTTCACGCATCGGCCCGCTTCGAACGTTGCGCAGAGAGCGTACGGGCTAATCATTCGGTCGGTCGCTCGATTGATCGATCGATCAATAGGGCGATAAGGGAGTCGGAAGGCGCGGGAATCATCTCGTGGCCGAGGTGGCCGCCGCGCACAGCATATCTCGATGTCATTGCTGCGAGTTTGTGAATACTGTCAATGTTGAGCAAAATAAATTCTTTGTACATGGTAGAGCGGTGTTGATCAATTTCACACGATTGTTCCGGAGGAAGGTGCGAGCGAGCGAGAGAGAGAGAGAGAGAGAGAAAGGGAGAAGAGGAGCGGTATCCTCGCTCGCGGACACCCGAGGACCTTTAATTCGGCGAGTCGTCGTTGCACCGCGCAGAGCAGCGCAGAGTCGGGACGACCGGCCACCTGGGGCGTTTCATTAGCGCGGACGCAGCCGTCGCCGTCGTGAAATATCTCGCTCGTCCGGCGCCGGCGAAGGTGGCGCCGAGATTAATGCGAATGCTCTTCGCGGCTGCATCCGCGTCGCGCCGGCTCGGCCTATACTTAGCCGGGGAGAGATTCACGTGACTTCTTTCGGCGCGTTAATTCAGGAGGACGACACTTTAAGTGTCCACTGCACGTGTGTTAGGCGCAACGAGGGTACAGCGGGCGACGTCGTCGCGACGCTTCGAGGAAGCGCGCGGGACGCGAGGTGTTGCTGGGGTGAAGACCAGAAGTCGCGTCCTTTCCCTCGCTCGTTTATATTTAAGTCAAAGCAGGAATGTCGCGAAACCGGGGAGGATAACGCGGATCTCGTCGCCGGTGTCTTTCCGGGACGAAAACAGCCGCGTCGTCGTCTCGCGCGAAATTTATTTCTCGCAAAAGCATAGATAGCTCTTTCTACTCCAAAGCCAGTATCGCGTCGTGAGTTTGTCAAACATTTTTTCGCAGCGGCTTTCACGGAGAGTTCGAAGAACGATTCTCCAAAAGCCCAGATCTTTCTTTTCACCCAAGGTTCATTTGCAAGTCTCTCTTATGGATTTCGGATATTTGCCCTACGACCTTCGCTTTTCCCAGACTCTCCAGCGAGGCGGCGTAATCGCGGCTGTGACCGGCGCGGCGGTTGTAATTATTTACGGATTAACGGGATCCGCGCAAGCTGTTGCCGGGAGGATCACGCCGCTCCGTGCGTCCGCCGGTCGCGAATGTTAATTTTTCTTCCGCGGTTTGTTATCGCCCGGCGTCAAATATTGTTAGGAATCGATTTCTAGCTCTGCTTTCTACCATCGACGGCTCGCGCTATACACAGACGTCAACGTGCGCGTGCATTGCACACACGTGGAGTGCGATGCTCCCTCGCCGCGCCGCGCCGGCCGTCGCGATGCCAGAAACCAGCTGCGCCTCAGCTGTTTTCTATCCATTCCGCCTTGCTTCCTTTCTCCCGCCTGACGATTGGACACTTGGAAATAAAATCCTAGATAGACGCGACACGTGGGGCGTATTCGCGCTACGTAGAATTCACCCTGGTGATTCGTGTATAATTAAACTCGACGCGCGCCTCTATACGCGCGCGTAAAAACTTACTCTGTACAGTACGTATCATATGTTAGCTTTGTACATTTTTACGGAATACATCTCGAGAAATTTATATTCTGCATTGAGAGTTAAAAATTTTACTATTATAAAAAAGAGAATTTTTACGTAACAAATTATTTATTTCACTTTGATGGAAAAACGGAAATCAATTCTATTAATTTAGCGATGAGTGTTTTTTAGAAAATTATTTATGATTACTTCAATAAACATCACTTGAAATTTTCAATATCTCGTCTTTTTAAAATTATTGCGCTAATAATTCTCGGAAATTTAGATTCTAGGAATTCTCGGAAGTATCAATTGCATTCTTGGAATTTTAGATAGTGCGACCTCTTTGCAGATCATGTTCTCCTGATACTTTGTCAATTTTCTTCTCGATTTTCATGATTTGAAATTTGAAAGTTCCGAAATTTCAATTCTTGGAAATGTTGACAAATTCTTGGAAATTTAGATAGTGCCACCTCTTTGCCAATTATGTTCTCCTGATGCTTTGCCAGTTTTTGAGATTCTCGATGTTCGCGATTTTAAGTTTGAAATTTCCGCAATTCCAATTCTTCGAAATGATTATTTTTTATAATTCAAAAAGTAAGCTGCGGAGAACATTTTTGTAAAGGAAAGTCGTCTCACAGTTTAATCAGGAATACATTTCAGGGACACTAGACTTATTTTGAATCACCCTGTATAACAAAACTTATTTAAATGAATTTAACTGTTTCAATAAATCTTACTTGAAATTTTCAATATCTAATCTTTTTGAAATTATCGTGTATTTAATAAAACTTATTTCAATGAATTTAATTGTTTCAGTAAGTCTTACTCAAAATGTCAATATCTCATTTTAGTCAAATTATCGCGTACACAAAAAAGTCATAAGTATTATAAGATACAAGTGCATCTCGAGATGAGACGCGAAATATCCGAGATATCTCGCGCGGAGTTTATTCGCACGCATTATTGGACTATCTCCTCCCTTAAAGTCCCGACTGCTTGCGCAAAAGCGCATTTCATTTGCGCGGACCGCTATTGCGGATATTGCACGCGCGTGCTAACGCACCCGAGAAGAATGCACTTCGGGGGGAGGGCGCGAGAGGGGGAAGCTCGCGGGGGCGGCCGTGGCGGTTAACTGCACTCCCGATAAAACGCGGAAACAGCTGTTTAATCTTATCCGGTCCACCTGCGCCGCGCGCTCGATATTTACTCTCATTCTTCCGAGCGCGTCGCGTGCAGCACGCGCCTCTGGAACACACGTCTTTTGTTGACACAAGCATAACAAAGCTCGTTTCCACCCGTCTTGGCACACATGTGTGCCGCGCAGATAACTCCGGGCTGGGCGCAAATTTGACAATCATGCAATACATTTATTATCTTTTCAACTACCTGCAGAGAAATTGTCAAGATTTTCGCCGAAAATGACATATACTGATGTTCATGTAGTAGACAAGTTTGAAGTTAACAATGACGCGACATATCTATTATTTTTCCTACGAGCTGCAGAGAAATTGTCAAGATTTCGCCGAAAATGACATTCATGTAGTAGGCAAATTTGAAATT